CCACAGCTGTAGTTTCATTGTAACCACACATGATGCATTGTAATCCATTGAATCGACAGGCTAATCGTTGTTTTTTAAAGACAGAATTAGCAAATTTTTGATCCAGTAGATGTCGCCCTTAAGCTCCAGTATGAAACCAAAACAAACTGCTGTTTGGCCACACCTCCTCCATACTGAAGCCTCCGCCCTCCTCCAGAGACACACCTCCAACCCCCTGCTACACTCGAGTTTCATCTCGATCTGCAATCACCCGTGTCCTGAATTGTTGTGTTAGCATGCTAATGTTAGTGCTCCTTAGTTAGCTCGTAGCTTCACATTAGCTGTGTCCTGCATTGTTGTGTTAGCATGCTAATGTAAGTGCTATTCAGTTAGCTCGTAGCTTCACATCACCTGTGTCCTGCATTGTTGTGCTAGCATGCTAATGTTAGCACTCTTTAGTTAGCTCGTAGCTTCACATTGTTGTGTTAGCATGCTAATGTTAGCGCTCTTTAGTTAGCTCGTAGCTTCACATTTCATGTAAACTGACACAGAATGAGCGTGATCTAAAAACTCTTACTAACATCCAAATAATCAGTGAGTATGTTCTTCTTCTTCTCTCTAGTTCTTGACTAAAACAGCTTTTATACACAAGGGGAGGAGCCGGCCGTCCCGTCCACGTAAACGTCCATGAGTTTTATTTTTGGCTGCTCTGTATTCAGACAACAGTTAGTCTTCTGTATCTTCAAAATAGTTAATTTCTGCCTCAGAAACCTTTTGGGAATACATGCACTCATTTCATCAAAACAACCTGAAGAGTTAAACCAAAAGTTTTACTTGACTTACCAGTAAAGTTCATCAGCAGACAGTCCTGGTTGAACAGGTTGTCAGGCTGTCCTCGACACCAGTTGGAAAAGATGAAATATGAACCATCGCTCCACAGCCAAGTACGCTCCTAGCCAAGAAACACACACACACACACACACACACACACACACACACACACACACACACTCACTTCAGTAAGGCTGACACAAAAAAATGTCTTTATAATTTTGTTTTGTGTCACTTTGAGATTGAGATTTTTGTGTGAGCATTAAGATACCAGTGCGTCTGAGCCTCCAATCCATGTTTCTGGATACTCTCTAGTCTGACTCGTTATCATTCCCTGAATAAAGTGATACTCATTGTAGCTGTGCACTGATGCGAGGTTTCCACCTTGAGACTGACAGTTCCTCTGCAGAAATGAGAAAGGACAGAAAAGTAGCACGATGTGAAGGCCAATAATGTGACATTATCAAGTAATCGAATATTCCATTTAACAACATGTGCCTTTATACTCCCAACTCTTCAAATACAGAAGCTACGACACATTTTTAATACTCCAGAAGTGAACTGCCCTTCAAGTAGTCTTCATACAGTGTGACCGGACCAAACATCCAGCGATAAACTAGAGAATGAGTTCTGAAATGACGACGGAGGGTACATAGAGACTGGAGAGCGTTCAGTGTTCAGGAGCTCTGTACTGGATCCAAATCAATGATTACCTCAGCCTCGCCCCAACGCATTGCTGTTGGAACGTAGAGGAAACAGCGACCGCTGTACTGAGTCCAACCACTGGGACAATCTGCAAACAAAGTGAAGAAAGAAGTGAATGTAGAAGTGAAACCTCACTGATGCACCTACTGTAAGATAATCCAGCCTTTCCCAAACTTAAGTCTGCCGTGGCCCGCTTTGAAATACAAAATTACTCCGGGGATCATTCTAAAAACATTTTTATGACTACAGTTATAACTTTCAGTAAGGGTAAATTATTGGACATTACAACATGATATTATGGCAAGATAGACACAAAAGTTTACTAAACATTATGTCCATGAATAGTCATGACACGCCTTTGCACTGAGAAAGTAGATATCAATCAATTTTTATTTGTATAGCGTCAACTCATTACGTGTTATCTGGAGACACTTTAACAAAAAGCAGGTAAAAGACCTTACTCATTGCTATATTACAAAGACCCGGTCTATCCATCATGAGCACTTTAGCAAAGCAGTAAAAGTTACAGTGGTAAGAAAAAACTGTCTTATTAAAAGGCAGAAATCTTCAGGCCGGATCCCCGGCTCATGACAAAACAGCCTTCACAGGCCTAGACTGCGCCAGCCTTGGAAGGGGATAGGGGGAGAGATGGGATGAAAAGCAGGACGAGGGGGGGTGGTGTGTTCTGGCAGGCCGTCAACCAACGATCTCGAGGAGCCTAAGAGAGCTCAAGAGCTCCTAGGAAAGTAGGTGGTTAGTGACTGAGATTTACAGATAGATATGATGTACAGTATATTCACAGAGAGAGAGAGAGAGAGAGAGAGGAGCTCAAGGTGCCAGTTCCCCCGGTAGTCTAAGTCTATAGCAGCATAACTAGGAGCTGGTCTACACCAGCCCTAACTATAAGATTTATCAAAAAGGAAAGTTTTTTGGAGTCACGTGGGTGCAGCAACCAAGATGGCCGCAATGTAGAGGGGCTCTCGCCCTGCACAGGTTGATTTATAGTTTCTAATATGAAAAACAATCATTATTGGTAAAAGTGCTTGTTTCAGCTATTTTAGTGTCAGTACTTAAATATTACATGCTCGAGAGGTGATGGCGACATCTAAATACTTTAAAAACCCAAGTCGCATGCCTACACGGAAAAGCCCCTCACACGAGGTCGACCTAGCCGATGCGGCTCCTGCACCACCAAGTTCGTCAGATAGTCTTGATAGGTTATTCACAGAAATTTTGAAGATGAGCGACACTCTGCAGAGTGTGGCAACGGATGTTTCAACTATTAAACAAACTACAGCGGAGCTGAATACAGCGGTGACGGCCATGCAGGAGCGCTTTGGGGAGGCTGAAGCACGCATTGCACACCTGGAGGAAACTTCGGAGTGGCTGCTGAAAGAAGGAGGGAGTATGGATAAACAAATGGAAGCCCTGTGGAACAGAGTGCAAGTCCTTAAAAAACCATAGCAGGCTGAATAACATGAGGTTGGTGGGATTAAAAGAGACTTTTGGTACTAACGGGACGCTGCCTGACTGTGTACAAAAGATTCTAACTGAAGGGCTCGGTGTTTAAATTGACGACGTGTTTGAGATGGAGAGGGTGCATAGGCAGAGGCAGGTGGAGGTTGAATACTTCATTAATGTTAGACCCAATCTTTAAGGAAGCTTTGGAGAAAGACTTAAAAATGTTCTTTGAAATCAGCATTGGTAGCACAGAGGAAATGGCAACGGTGTGGGAAGCTTCAAAAGCATACATAAGGGGTAAATTTATTGCACATGCTGCCAAAAAGAAAAAAGAGAATCTGAGCAGAATTAAGATCTTGGAAAAGGATATAAAGAATAAAGAGCTAAAATTGTCTAAACATTTCTCTGATGAGCAATTTCAAGAGCTCTGCAAGCTCAAATTTCAATTACACAAGATTTACAACAAAAAAGCAGAATATGTTCTTTATAGATTAAGAACGAGTTTTTATGAAGGTGGAGAAAAAACTGGTAAACTGCTGGCTAGACTGGTGAAGGAAAAAACAGTTGCAAATACAATACCAGTTATAAATCAGGGTGATAAACAATTTTTCTCGAATAAAGCTATAAATAGAGTATTTCAACAATACTACGAAAGATTGTACACATCGTCTGTAACTTCCAACACTGCACGAGAAGATATAGAACAGTTTCTCTTTAAAATAGATGTGCCGAAGCTACTGAAGTGTCTTAAATATCAAGGACAGAGATATTATACTGCTCTTTAAGTTGTATACTGCACACATCTGGAAAGAATTTGTATCTGATAGACGAGTCCCTTTCAGTTGAATGTTTGCTCAGAGTTGTTGTTGGCAGGATGAGTGATCAGTTGCCAGGAAATGCCTAAATCTAAGATAGGATCCCCCACAGTGGAATGTGTACAACGGGACCCCTGTGTCCAGAGCAGTGGGCGCGCACTGTAGCTGTTCCCACTCAACGTTCTTGAAGCCAAAATAGGCCGCTTAGGGGCGCTTCCATCTTGCGATTTTGACGTCATTTGGAGCCAGAGTCTGCACAGTAGGGTCCGGGGGGAGGAGCCCTGGTAACATGCCCCGCCCACTTAGCGTACTGCCCTGATGACTTACGCAGCCCAGCTACGCCGAAAGCGCTCTGCCGGTCTACGATGAAGAAATGTGTAAGTACAACAAACCGCCGTATTCAAAGTCTAATATTTAAACACACTGTGTTTTAAAAAATCCAGTTATTTTGATCATTATTGAAAATACGTGGGCTGCTGGGTCCTCTGTTTTTAATGAAATCGTTTTAATGAAATCGTTTTCAATATTTAAGCTATATTTAAGCTAGGTTAGCACCACAGACCGTAGACTACAGGTGGTGAGATATGTTGTATTCTGTTAGAAACTGATAGTCTGCAATGTGAGTCATGTCTGCTTTTCTAATATATTTAAGTGAACAGTAAATCAATTGTTTTTTGTATTTTCATTTAGGCAAAGAAGAGATAAAAGCAGCTGGTCTGACATCTTCCACAGAGGTGAAGTGTAAGTTAAAATCATCTGTTAAAAGTTTATATCCTGTGATTTTGTTTTAAGTTTCATAAGAGGATTGTCAAAACAAGCTGTTGTTAACAATACAGTCTTCTAAAAATAAAAATCACAGAGTCATACACCAGCTAAATGTTAAATAGAAAGGTGATGTTTTCTTTTCCATTTTACAATCAACTGAACCTAAAAATGACTCATTTCAACCTTCATCTGCACACCTGTTACAGAGGTCAGGCTGGGGTCTCTTAGTTTGAAGGAACCTCCTCCTTTTATCACCTGTGCCAGATGCCCTGCTCATCCACTGTGGGAGAAATGACCTCACACCAGCAGCTCTCCCAGATGAAGAGTCCTCTCTGCCATCACCCAGAGGAGCTGATCGACGTCTGAAGAAGGTGGACAGAGTCTGGAGCTTTGTGACAGTGAACAGTGAGAAGGCTACCATAGTCATCCTCAGATAAAACACAGAGGTCCAGGTCAATATTTAATTTATTTTTCTTTACATGATGTTGCCCTGTGTTTGAAAGGCCAGATGCTGGAGGGTTGTGTTGGATTTGCTTTTCCATCATATTTTAACAGTCAAACAATCATCCAGGATCTCTATACTTTATTTGATTTTGTTTGGATTTCTTTGTTAAATTATGTTTTCTACTTTCTCCTATGTCCCAGCAGTTTGACCTGATGGTCTCTCTTACTTATTGTCCACATGGTTAATGAAGCCAGGGGTTGTTGATTGAAGATTTCTTTTCATAAAATGTTTAAATAAACGTTTTAAAAATCTGAATTGACTGTTTCTGATTAACTGGAGTACAACAACGTGTTGGTCACAGTAAAATAATTTAGCAGTTAAGTTTATAGCTCACATTTGAAAAGGCCTTGAACTGACATTCATTTCTTCTTGACCAACAACAGCTAAGACAACAGCAAAGCTAACAGACGAGCTCAGCTTGTCACAGCCGGCTCGTCTGAGATAAATGGCCTTCAAACTTATTTAATATTAAACATTTAAAGCCAATAAGCATAGCAAGATACGTATGAGATTCCATTTCAATTTATTCAATCACAGACTTGTCAAACAGTCTGGCATGTTGTGCTGCTGTTTTCAAGAGTTAATAACTGAAGAGAAGAAGACCATCGAGAGAGGACAGGAAACACTCAGGGGACGAGTCCTCCACGTTGTCGGGGGACGAGTCCTCCGCGTTGTCGGGGGACGAGTCCTCCGCGTTGTCGGGGGACGAGTCCTCCATGTTGTTGATGGACGAGTCCTCCATGTTGTCGGGGGACGAGTCCTCCATGTTGTCAGGGGACGAGTCCTCCATGTTGTCAGGGGACGAGTCCTCCATGTTGTCAGGGGTTGCTGATGGATCTGAATCTGAGAGCATCTTCTGTAATAAAGAAAAACAATCACAGAGTTAAATGTAAAGTATAATGAATTTTACTGTGATGTTTCTGCCTCAGACCTGAGATCAGATCTGTCCTCAGGTTCTGCTAAACTTCAGCTTCTAAAGTTTGTTTTTATGACAGGAGAACTATTTAAGAGGAAAAACAAAATATATAAAAGACATGATGAATCCAATAATATGATCAGCTTTATGAATTTATGTTTTAAGACAAAAGTGTTCCTGCCACTTTCTATAGAAGATTATTTTAAACTCTCATCACATGGGCCAGCCTGATGAATTAAACTAATGTTAAATATTCTCATATAATCAGATTTGTGTGCAGAACCTCACCGGAGCTGGAATCAGAGTCTGGACTGTTGTTTCCTTTGAGCATTGATTTCCTTGAAGACAGAAAGAAGAACAATTTAAACATGAACTTCTTGTAGAACCATAGAGGCTGTTAAAATCTTCTGCTAGTCTTCCTTACATTTTAGGAAGGATTATAAATTGTTACTAAAATTACTTTGATACCGATAGCGGTTACAATAACACGGTCCAATCATATGAGAGATCATTTTACCTTTGAGTCCTCTGTGAAGGTGTTCTCTTCAGAATCAGCACTGCAAAGGGAGGAGACGAGAGCATTGTGGAGAGGAGCTCACCGGAGGGGGCGAGCTGGGGGAGAGACGAGAGACCTGAGAAAAAGGAAATCCCTGTTTAAAATATAATGTTGGTGAAAAGAGGGAAATAGGAAGACATAAATGTCAATGTTGAAATTGTTTTGAATACAGAGACTGTGAATGTTCAGTTTTCTTTGGCTATAAAAAGGCAACAACAGCCTGTAGTTTAATCCTGGTGTTTCTCTTTGTTAACAATTATTGAAGCAAAATCAAAAATAAATGCATGACATTTAAAACTTATTAACATGTGTGGGGGAAAACGCGATCTTTATGTCTTCTTTTGTTGTGCCTCTGTCTCCTCCTAACTTCAATAACAGCAGCATGTTGTGTGTAACACTGGTCTCCTGCATTAACACCTTCCTTTCAAAGGTGATAAATACAGACACAGTCACAATCACCTCAATGTTTGTCAGGTTTTGTCAATTTTTAGAACAATTTCTCAATGAGCGTCATTAAATGTACAATATGATCAACTTGTGACTGTTGAATTGGTCGTGTGTGGAAGACAGTGCAGAACATTTATCAGTTTAAGCAGCATGATGCTCGGTTAATATTACATTACACCACCGCCGGTTGTTGATGTTTGTGTTCACGTTTCGGTTAGTCTCTTAAATCAGTAACAGTTATATTAAATCACATCTTACCTTTAGTTTTATCTGGATCTTAAATCAGTAACAGTTATATTAAATCAGATCTTACCTTTAGTTTTATCTGGATCTTAAATCAGTAACAGTTATATTAAATCACATCTTACCTTTAGTTTTATCTGGATCTTAAATCAGTAACACTTATAATAAATCACATCTTACCTTTAGTTTTATCTGGATCTTAAATCAGTAACAGTTATATTAAATCACATCTTACCTTTAGTTTTATCTGGATCTTAAATCAGTAACAGTTATATTAAATCACATCTTACCTTTAGTTTTATCTGGATCTTAAATCAGTAACAGTTATATTAAATCACATCTTACCTTTAGTTTTATCTGGACACATAGAGAAATATTCTCCCCTCGTATATAGTCCTATGAATTTCAGCCTGCACGGTGAAAGTAAAACCTGTTCCTCTCGGTTTAGTCCACTTATCACTCAGACTGTAAACATGTTCACATTAGTAATGATGCAGGCCAGATTTAAATTATGTGACTTTGTTTTTGCCCGACATACTTTTTTGAGACTTTACCAGATGTTTTTATTTTTGCTGTAAAATAACTGTACAGTCAATGAACCACATCTATGAGCGGATTTTATATTACGATTCTTGGTTTTAAATACAATTTCAATCACAATAACGACATAACAATATCAAGAAACATAGCATGTCAGTTATTAGGTTTGCTCATTTAATAAAATAAAATAAAAAGATAAATCATGCCGGATCAGTAACCTAGCTTTACAACATTTCAGCTAACCTTAGACTGCTTATGTGTTAGCTAGCTAGATAACGACTTTAACCAATGACACATAAATCACTTTTTTACTTACCGAAAAAGCTGCAAAGATCCGTTATCTCCCTCAGGTCGGTTAGAACAGTTTACTGCAGAACAACTCATTTTACAGCTCAAAAAAGACGAAAAAACTGAACGGAAAAATTCAATGGCGTCTCGGCTTTCCTTCACTACGTAACTTTTGCTATTCACAAAGAGAGCTACGCAAGATCGGCGGCTGTCAATCATCGTCAAATATGACGTAGAATCCCGTTTTTCAACCTCAAATAACTTATTTAAAACAAACTTCACAGAAAAATGAGCGCTTGAACACAATGTAGGGTGATAATAACTCATGATCACAGCAGAGTTTAGGTTTGGAAAAAAATGATGTGACGAGTATTTTAGCTTTACAGTTTGACCCACATCCCATCTGTTATCATTGAGGAGGCGGGGTTTATGACCTATACTGCAGCCAGTCAGTAGGGGGAGCTCTAAAAATAAAAGCTTCACTAGACCGGGGACCTTGTCCCGTCCATTATTTTTACAGTCTATGGTCCAGAGAGATGCCCAAGAACAGGAAACAGATGTCCTCATGTGTCCTGTGACATTATGTATAAATAGCACTCGCAATGTATGTTCGAGAGAGATCATTATTGGCTTCTTGACTCTCCTGGGCAGACGTGTTCAGTGATTCTGCAACTTGTTAATCAATAATTCTGTTTAAAAGCAAGTCAGTCTCAATGGCGTATTTCTTCATCATCAAACATATCAACAACGGAAATCCACATCACTACAACCTGAGGAAGCCGATGTACTTGAGTCACCTATATGAGAGGATGAAATAAGGAAGGCAATCTCCTCAATGAAAAATGGGAAGTCACCTGGTTATGACGGACTCCCGGTAGAATATTATAAAGCTTTCATTGCCCCAATATTACAAGTACCGTTCGTTGAGCAAAAGGTTCGTTTCCATCACCCATGATGACCTTTCACAGTGCAACATTTTACTTTAAACAAACACAAACAATAACATCCACATCGCAACAGGCCCGATTCAAACACCCAACGCATTACATTAAACACTTACAACAATATTGCACAATCCCTTATAGTAGCGAACCTCAATTCATTCATAAATCATTCAATTAACACCTTCCCAAATTACGCACGTACCTCGCTCCGTTTGCCAAGGGTGCAAACTTTCATCTTTGGACACAGCGATCTCCATAAACCTTCGAACATTCACGCTTAATGACTAGACACATCACTAGAAAAAGTCTCTCTGAGGTTTTTAGGGCCTAGCACAATGACTTTAGTCTTGTATGAGTTAAGTAGCAAGAAATGTCTGGTCATCCAGGTCTTAACGTCCTTAAGGCACGTTTCTAGCTTACATAACTGACTGGTGCCATCAGGCTTCATTGATACATAAAGCTGAGTATCATCTGCATAACAATGAAACTGTATGGAGTGTTTCCTCATAATATTTCCCAGAGGAAGCATATATACTGTAAAGAGAATTGGTCCAAGCACTGAACCTTGTGGCACTCCATGGCTAACTTTGGTGTGATAGAGGACTTATCAGAGTAACTAAACCCTAAAACCACTTTTTTCAACTATAAACCTCTGTATTTGAGTATTAAGTAGTGTTATGGATCAATCCAAGTCCCAATCTCGACATTTGAGTACAAAGTATTGAAATTTGAAATATTGTGTGAGAAATGTGCACAGTGTCTGCCCTTCCATTAGAAAAATTCTAACGGCTGTGTGGAGTACAGTATGACGTACAGCCCCACGTCACCAAACCTATAAAAGCCTCGTCACCCGACTCGGCGAACTGTGGGGACTCAAGTGTGTGTGTGTGTATTTGTGTGTGTGGGGCAAACATTGTATCATGTTGCGGCTGATAACGACGCGAAGGAGTGAGTGGGCGAGTTTACCCCCGTGCCCCCCTCCCTCTCCAAGTTGATACATTCTCCTGCTTATTCTGCTCCGGTCCCCGACATCATAACGTGCCTCTCGCACACACCTGCCGAACACACACACTCACCTTGTACTCTCTCTCCTCAATCGCTGCCCCACCCACACACATCCGCACTGAGCCCCTGAGCCTGAGCCACTGTGTGTGTGTGGGGCAAACATTGTATCATGTTGCGGCTGATAACGGCGTGAAGGAGTGAGTGGGCGAGTTTACCCCCCGCGCCGCCCCCCTCCTTCTCGAAGTATTAGGGGTAGGGTTTAGTTACCCTTTAACATGTACAAACTGAGATCGGTCTGATAAGTATGATTCAAAATAACTTAAAGCAGTCCCTGTAATTCCAAGTGAATGTTCTAGTCTGTATAATAGGATCTGATGGTCAATGGTGTCAAAAGCAGCACTAAGATCTAACAAGACGAGCACAGAGAGAAGTCCCCTGTCTGAAGCTAGAAGTAGATCGTTTGTAACTTTAACTAGTGCAGTCTCAGTGCTATGGTGGACTCTAAATCCTGACTGAAACTCCTCAAATAAACTGTTGTCATGGAGAAAGTCACACAGCTGATTAGCTACCACCTTCTCCAGGATCTTTGAGATAAAGGGAAGGTTGGATATAGGCCTGTAGTTTGCTAGAGTTCCTGAATCTAGAGTAGGCTTTTTAAGTAGAGGTTTGATTACCGCTACTTTAAATGACTGTGGTACATAGCCTGCCAGTAAAGACATATTGATATATCTAATATAGAGTTGCTAACTAAGGGAAAGACTTCCTTAAACAGCTTGGTTGGGATTGGGTCTAAAAGACAGGTTGACGGTTTCGACGCAGAAATAATTAAATTTAGCTCTGAAAGGTCGATTGGAGAAAAACAGTCTAGACTAATATCTGGTCCTGGAACTGTTTCTGCCATATCAGACGTATCTGCACCAGGTAAGGGCAGGAGGTTACCAATTTTGTCTCTGATGTCTAGAACATATATATAACGATATAATATAACACCAACTCACCCTCTGCCATTACATCAGCTTCTGGAACAGAGGCAAACACCATTTAACTGACGTCTGCTGTTTCTGCATTACATGAACTCTTTTCTTTTCTAGGTCTTGATTTGTCTGTTAACACTCACCAGCAGCATCAGTCAGGGCCGTCGCGGCACAGACAAGTAGCAACACGGTCAGCATCTTCATGGCTGAGTTTGATGCAGGTAGTCAAAGTGATGAATGGATTATGATGTCTTCTTCTTGTAGCTTCAGCTTTTCTGTGAGGAGATGAAGAACAGGTCACCTCTTAAATACAGTTACTTATCTTCATGTATTTTTTATTTCCTAATTTCCTTATCAGATTTAGGGCATAAATGACTTTAGAGGCCGACCAAAGATCAAGCAACAAGGAGATAAATTTGTTTTGATCGGGAAGGGTTTGAATTAATCAGGTCAGTGAGGCAACAAGTCAAACGAGGTCAACATTTTATTCCCTTTCTATATTCATGTAAGGCCTCATTATGTTGAAATATTTCTCCCATAGGTCACTTCATCTATCAATCTCTTTCTATCTCAGAAGTTGTTAAAAAAAATGATTGAAAGAATAATCAACTGACTTCCGGTGGACAGAGGAATGGAGTAGACGCATGCATCGCGCTCTCCCGCACTGACCTGAAAAAACATAACTTTTTATAACCCAATTTAGACCCAACTCTTTAGTAACAGTGAGTAATATCTTGTACATGCTTCATGGCCTCCGGAACCAGGTTGGTTAAAGGAAAAGACACCAAAAGAGACGACTCGTCCACCGCTGCTAGCCTGATTAGCATGCCTGCCCTGACTAGCTTGCTGGAGGAGCACCACCAGTCCATATCGCCGGCGCTGTCTGCTGAGCTCAAGTCGGCTTTTTCCTCTCTTGAAGCTAAATTAGACACAATACAAGCCACAGTGACTGACTTTGGTGAATGAATTGTGAGTTTGGAGACCAACGCCAATTTAACTGAAGGACGCATCCAGGCCCTTGAAATATCATGCTCCACTTTATCTGAGGCTTGTGCCAAGCTTAAGGCCAAGAACATCAATTTGGAGGGACGAAGCCGACGTAACAACATCAGGATTGTCGGCCTGCCGGAGTCCTTAGAAGGTCCATGACCCACGAGCTTTTTCTCTGGAGTCCTGATGGAGATATTCTGGGACCAAGTGCTGCAAACCCCACCAGATCTAGACCGGGCCCACCGCTCCCAAGCTGCTAAGCCGCGACAGGGTGACAGGCCCAGGCCTGTGTTTGTATGCTTCCACCGGCACCAGACCAAAGAGCTGGTAGTCCAGGAGGCCTGTAAACGGAGGAATGACCTGAAGTACCGTGACTCGCCGGTCCGCATCGACGAGGATTACTCCCCCGACGTCTTAGAGCAACGTGCGACCTACCGCGATGTCATGGCTAAGCTGTATAACCTGGGCCTTTGACCAGCTCTGCTCTACCCAGCAAAGCTTCAAATCACCATGAAAGATGGCAATAAGAAACGTTTCTCCTCAGTCGAAGAAGCCGCTGCCTTCGTGAGGTCCATGCCCGCCCCATGATGCTGCTTCATTGCCCCGACTCTGCAGTCGTTGCACGGGCTAATCTACTAGCAGCTAATGCTAACACTGGTACCGGCTTCGGGATAGCTTGCTCAGCCGGTAAGAGTGTCTCGACACGATAATATTTAACACACAGTGACTGTGAGCTCTTACTCTTATGATGCTTTTTGAACATTGGGACTTTTTTTAGTTTTTGTAAAACTCCGTCTGGACTTGTTGAACCGATGTTGTGAATGGAGTCTGCCCTTGTTTGTTGTGGTTAACTATGCCACATGGCCCGTTTGGCCCTTGACTGTCATGATTTGGTCTTTTCTAGTTTTGTTTTTCAGTGTTTAGTGTTTCTTTATGTTCTAATGTGTTTTCATCAGTCTTGAGTTCTGTGTGTCCTTAGTGTTTCTTGTATTTCTGCCTCTGTGTGTTTCCCTGTGTGATTGCCCTGATTGTCCTCACCTGTGTCTTGTTAGTCTCACCTGTGTCTGATTCCCCTGTGTATTTAGTCTCTGTGTTTCTTCTTTTCTGTGTCAGTTCATTGTTGTATGTCGTTTTTATGTTGTTCATTGGTATGTCAGTTTTTGCTCGTGCTCCTCTGTGGCTCCTTGTTTTTGATCCGTGTGTTTTTTGTTGAACTTTTGAAAGTAAGTTTTTGTTGCCTTTGGCCTTTTTGTTTAATTAAATATTTTTGGTTATTCTGCACTTGGGTCCACCTCCCTTGTTTTCCAACAGTTCGTGACACTTGACCATGCTTTTAATTTTTATTAGGGGTAATATCAGTCAAACGTTTAATACAAAGATGCCTGTTGCGTCGCAGTGGGAGTTATGATGATTGTTTTTTCTGTGACATGAAGATGCAGCTTCTCTACTCATGGCTTTGGTTTCTATTTCTGGGACATATCGCCCTTTATTGCTCTAAAGGGGTTGAGTAATGGGAAAACCTGCACTGTTCTCTGGGGGAATTTTTCCATAGTGACTGTTGTATCGCAACGTTTATGCTCACATCTGACTAGTTTGGTTTTAGGCCTTTCAGGGTTAAATTTTTTCCTGTGGGAGTGGTGAAGTTATGAGGATCAGTGAGTATAAAAAAAAAACTGGAAGCTGTATAGGGGTTTTAATTGTGTTAATAGGGGTTTTTTTTTTGTCCCCCCCCCCCCCCCCAAAAAAAAAAAGGGCATCGTCACTGCACATCTCCACTTAACAAAGGGTGAGTAGTGCTTAATACAATTACACCCCAAAACCAGGGCTGCAGGTTTGTGTCGTGGAATGTTAGGGGAGTCAATGGAACGATTAAGAGGGGCAAAGTGATTGCACATTTGAGACAACTCAGAGGGGATATTTATTTCCTTCAGGAAACTCACCTCAAGGCCTCTGAGATTTCACGTATTAAAAGACCCTGGATGAGTCATGTATTTCATTCTAGGTTTTCTGCGAGGGCGAGAGGGGCAGCCATTATCAGTAAAAATATTTCATTTGAACCAATGAAAATGAAGACCCTAATGGGCATTTTGTGGCTGTGTCAGGCAGGCTGTTTGACATCCCAGTTATTTTAGTGAGTGCCTACGCCCCTGTATGGGATGATGACAAATTTATCACCCATCTTTTCTCCTCCCTTCCTGATATAGACAGTCACTATCCGATTATAGGTGGTGATTTCAACCTTATTCAGGATCCTGTTCTAGATCGATCCTATTCTCGACCCCCCCACTTTGTCCAACTCTGCCACCACATTGAAATCTTTTATGTGCCAGCTTGGCCTCAGTGATCCTTGGCGGTCTCTTAACCCATCCACCAAAGCTTTTTCGTTTTTCTCCCACGTTCATCGAACATATTCAAGAATTTATTTATTTTTTTCCATTGATTTCCTATTGCATTGGGTCAACTCAAGTGAGTATCACAGTATAGTGAACGCAGACCATGCTCCTACATTGGTTGTCATAAATTTCCCAAACCACAGCTCTCCACATTCACAGTGGAAACTTTCTCACCTTTTATTGAGTAATCCACATTTTAAAAAATTCTTCCAGGAGGAGATAGCCAACTTCTTTCAAACAAATGATACCCCAGACATCTCGAGAGGCACTCTATGGGAGGCGTGTAAAGCATATCTGAGGGGACAGGCGATCTTGTTTGCCTCCCACCAGAAAAAGGTGGACACGGGAAGGATGGTCTGGCTCTCGGATCAACTATTGAAAATTAACACACAATATGTCGCCGCCCCCACTCCCTTTCTTTATGACCAATGTCTTAAATTTCAGGCCGAGTTTGACCTTTTGTCAACATCTAAGGTTGAAACCAAATTGTTAAAAACAAGGCAACGTTACTTTGAAATGGGAGATAAGGCGGGCAAACTTCTCGCCCATCAGGCTAGGACTGCAGCTCTCTCAAGACTGATCCCCAGGATAAAATTGCCATCGGGAGCAGTGCCCATCGACCCCAAATTGGTAAACGATGCGTTTTTTACATTTCTATTCTGACCTGTACATTTCAGAGTACTCGCCTGAAATTTGGAAGAGCCACAGCCCCCTGGAGATGCTTACGTATCCCAAAGTCGATAGTACTCTGGCTGATAAACTAGGTGCACCGATCTCACTGGCGGAAGTGCAGGAGGTGGTTGGACAGCTACAAAATGGCAAATCCCCTGGCCCAGACGAGTTTGTCGTTGAATTTTACAAAGCATATTCAAACCTTATAAACCTCACATTTGGTTAATGTCTACAATGAATCATTTACTAGTGGCAGACTGCCCCAATCCTATCTGAAGCTAACATTTCTCTTTTATTAAAAAAAGACAAGGATCCCCTCGAATGCAGCAACTATAGGCCCATCTCACTTTTAAATATGGACCAAAAGATTCTCGCCAAGGTCCTAGCCACTCGTCTGCAGCAAGCCCTATCTGTCTGATTTACACAGACCAGACTGGGTTCATGGCTGGAAGGAATTCGTCATTCAACAGCAGACGACTCCTCAGCATTATTGGCTCCCCCAACCCTGTGGTACCTGAGGTGGTAGTTTCTTTAGACGCTGAGAAAGTGTTTGACAGGGTTGAGTGGGAGTATCTGTACTACGTCCTGTCAAAATTTGGTTTCAGCTCTGACTTTATTGCATGGATTAGATTGCTTTATGACTCCCCAACTGCCCATATCTTAACAAACGGTGTGAGGTCACCCTCTTTTGCCCTTCGCCAGGGCACTAGACAGGGATGCCCCCTCTCCCCCCTCCTATTTGCTCTCACTATCGAGCTGTTGGCCATCTGGCTTCAGGGGGAGGGGAGAGTCGAGGGCATCACCAGGAACAATGTCACCCACAAGTTGTCCATGTACGCGGATGATCTGCTATTATTTGTGTCAAACCCGGCCTCGTCCATCCCTGTTATTACAGACATTTTAACCCAGTTCAGCAGATATTGTGGTTATAAATTAAATTTTAATAAAAGTGAACTTCTCCCTATCAACCTCCTGGCTAGGAGGATGCCATCGTCCTCTTTCCCATTTAGAGTCGTTTCAGAGGGGTTTCGATATTTAGGCGTATTCGTCACTGCTTCTTTTGAAGACCTTTTCAACAAGAATTTTCGGCCTCTTATTGATAAGTGTAAGCTTGATATGACTCGCTGGTCTTCTCTCCCTCTCTCTTTAACTGGCAGAGTTAACCTGGTAAAGATGGTGATTCTACCTAAATTCCTCTATTTGTTCCAACATATTCCAATTTTTATGAGAAGGTCCTTCTTTCAACAGCTAGACCAGA